CCAGGGCCATGCTGACCCAACTGGTCAGCGAGGAGGCAGCCTGGGGCCTCCTGAGATTTCCGCAGCCCCTCCAGCCCCACCTCGGAGGAGGCCCCGGAAGCAGTCAAACCCGCACCAGGGCGCCGAGAAAGTGGACCCTCGGTTCGCGGGAGTGACGCTGAGGTTTCAGATAAAGCCGGATTCCAGCCTTCAGATCATCCACAGCTACAGGTAGGAACGGCCCGGTGAGTGAGGGCGCCCTGTATGCAGCGAATGGCAATGACAGGGACAGGGGCCTGTGGGGAGGCGCTCCAGGCATGGGCTCGCCAAGGGCCAAGCAAGACTGTGCCAGTCCCGTCCTGCTGCCGTGGCCGGTCCTATCCCGGGCTGAGCCTGGTCTCCCCTCTATGAGACCGGCCTGGCCACGCTGAAGGCTGCTGCTGCCGTTACTTTCTCCAATAATGATAACAGCTGCCATTTGTCGGGAGCAACAGCTAAGAGGCGACATGCAGCACTTGGTGTATGTGGGTTCATTGAAGCCTTGTAAAGCCCATGTTACAGATTTGGAAACTGAAGCACAGAGGGGGACATCACTTTTCCAGGGTCACACAGCAAGGGCAGACAGAAATGGGGTTTCAACCTGACAGGTTGGCCCCAAGCGAACTACCTCTTCAAATTATTATTATTATTGTTATTCCTAATGAGGGACAAAGCCAGGCCTTTCAGACATCAGATGCCTCCTGAGGATGCCTGATATCTTCGTAGTAAATCTTTATTTTGGGAGGCTTTCTGGGACAGGATTCAGATCCCCCAATACTAACGCCTTGTCTGTCCCCCAGCCTGGCCAGCAGCAGCCGCTCTCAGGCTCCCCCTACAGGCCCTGAGGCCAACCCAGGAGGCAGTGAGGCCCTGGGTGAGTCCTGGAGACATGAGAGCTATAAATAAGGGGCGGGGGGGTTGCCTTCTATCTTCCCTGTCTTACTCCCCACCCTGCTTCCCCATTTAGACCCATCCAGGATGAGTCTCAGTGCCCCCCTTCACTCTGCTGAGTCACCCCCACCCCCGGCTTCCTCCTCTGCCAAGGTTTGCCATCTGTCTCCCTTCCTGACTTTCCCTTTGTCTTAGATATGGCAACACCCGGGGACGGGCCCAGAGCCCGGCGGGGCCTTCACAGAGATCCTCCCAGATTTCCCCACCCCACACGAGCCTCCTGAGCCTGGACGCTTGGCCTCTGACTCCTGCCCTTTGGCCTCTGCCTTTCCAGGGCCCAGGCGCTGTGCTTCTTGTAGGACCCAGAGAACCCCACTCTGGAGAGATGCCGAAGACGGGACACCTCTCTGCAATGCCTGTGGTATCAGGTCTGCAGACTGGAGGAGGGAGTTGGGTAGGGTCCCCCGTCAGCCTGTGCGTGGCTGGCATGGGGTATTGGGAAGGGGAAGTGGTTTCCCTGTGGTGGTTTCTGTGTCCCCGGTGCATCCTGAATGCTGGATTTTTGTGCCCCCGTCCCAGGTACAAGAAGTATGGCACCCGGTGCTCCAGCTGCTGGCTGGTGCCCAGGAAGAATGTGCAGCCCAAGAAGTTATGTGGCAGATGTGGGATGTTCCTGGGCCCCAACCAAAGCCCATCCCAGGAAGGGTAAGCCCTTCCTCACCCAGCCAAGCCGGTCCTGCCTCCGTTTCTCTAGGGGGAGAGTGGGAAGAAGCCCTCCTAAGAGGAATGGGGGGAAAGCTTGGGTCTTGAGGGCTCCAGCCTGCCTTGCCTCTGCCCTCTCCCCATTCAGGGACCCCAGGCAGAAGATCCAGGCCTCAGGCCCTAGAGCCCCTGTCTCAGAGGTTCACTGGCCTCTTCCTTGGCCCCTGCTTGGCTGAGCTCCCCCTCAGGAAGTGTTCGCAGTAGGAACTCGTGCTGTTTGTGAATAGAATGGACAATAAAGAGCAGAACTCCTCAGAGAAGCAGTGCTGTGACTTTGGGGATCCCACTTCGTGTGCCCTCACCTGCCACTCTCCCAGTCCCAGAATGTGGGTTTGTGAGGGACACACACATAATCATATATGTAAAGGCACCAGCCCCCCATAGAGGATTAGCCACATGCATCACAACGTCCACACAGGGAAACAGCACCACACACGAGAACGACACAGACAAAAGATAGACACACACAAGGCACATGCATCAACACACTCACAAGACACACATATAGAGACAAACTACACATGAGATTGAAAGATACATGGGTTGACAGACACATGTCCAGATACACGATAGACACATATGTCCATAGACACACAACAGATACACACATACAGTACAGACACATGTCAACAGCAACACAAACACACAGATGACACATTGGTACACAGTGATACAGACACAGTGGGCCCTTTACCTGTCAGCTCCACTCCTGCCTGCAGAATGTCACCTGTGGCATCCTTACAGGCACCAGTCCCTGCTGTGTCCCCCTCCCCCTCTTTCAAGATCGCTCTAACCCCTCCAAGAGGTGTCCCCAGTCTGAAGCCAAAAGCCATGTGGGAAAGCTAGCCCTGGGCAGAGGTCAGCCCTGCCGCTGTCACTGCTCACTGACTGCCAGTGCTCACGTGGAGGGAGAGGGAGGGCTGGGAGTCCAGGATGGCGGGATGCAGGGAGGGCAGAGGTGGTCCCTGCCTTGGGGGTGACTGAGGCTTGCCTGGCCACATGCCCCGGAAAGACAGGCCCATGCAAGACCCTCTTTGTCTCTCCTGGGTGGGCTTGTGCAGAGGCCTGGGCCCACATTCAGCCCTTATACCCCTGACTCATTTGGTCTCACCCTTCCGTGGTGCAGAACACCCTCCCCCGTGCCTCCCAGAGCTGCCACCTTCTCTCTACTTGGGAAGGAGGGGCTCAGCCTCCCAAGATGCCCCCCTTGACAGCCCTGTCTAAAACAGACCCCTCCTTCCCACGGGCGTCAGGCTCAACCTCAGCTCCTGGCCGGTCTCCTGCTGAGAACTTACCAGAATTTTCAGTGCTCTATTTCTCCGGGGTCATTTCTTTACATTCCTCTCCCCCATTGGACACTGGCTTTGAAGGTCCAAGGTTCCCACCCCAGTGTCCAGCATGGAGAACCTTTTCATGAAAACATGAAGGTTTCAGACTGTGTATATACAAACTCCAGGCTGCTTTGAGCCATTTAGTCAACATTTTTTTGAGCAATTACTGTGTGTTAGGCCCAAAGGGAGACACTGAATAGAACAAAGATCCCTGCTGTAGTGGGGCCAATATTCTAGAGTGTCAGTAAATACTTAATTACATGATTAATAGAATGTCAAGTGCTACAGAGAAATAAAAGTATAGAAGGAGATAAGGAGTTTGGGGGGGGGGGGGGCTATCTTAGCCCTGGTTCTCCGGAAGGCCTCTCAGGGGAGGTGACATTTGCATAGAGACCTTGGAATCAGGAACTAGCTATGGGATTATTTGGGATGCGGACTCTCCGAGCAGATAGAATGGCAAGAGCAAAGGCCCTGTGGCAGGCAGAACTTTGTGGGGTTCAAGAAAGGTGGGTGAAGAGAAGGACGGAGGGAGGGAGGGAGGGAGGTCAGACAGCAGGAGCTGCACCACCCTTGTGCCTTGTTGCCTTCTGTACTGGGCACCCACACTGGCTTGGCCTCTAGCGCCCCTGTTTCCTGCTCTCACCTTTGTGCATGAGATGTTTGCATGGGCAGCTGATGAAGCTGGAGCTGTCCAGACCTGCTTCCTTCTCTGCATCTGTGTTCCTGCTTTTGAGACAGGAGAAGACTGAGGCTGGGGGTGGGGGTGGGGTGTGGGGGGGGGGGGGGAACCAGCAGTTCTCTCCTTATTCTGTGGGGAGTGAGGGGCACAGTGGTGTGCTGTGGGGTTGTGGCTGATACTCTGTGTGTCTATACTGAACCATGATGGGCCAAATCCAAAGGCAGGTTGGGGGTAAACTGAGGCACTGAATGAAGGCAGCATTGAGAGTGGGGCAGGGACATCCTGGGGCTGACACCATAGCTGCAGCCACTGCCTTCCTTTACTATCCAGATGAGGCCTCAGGGCAGGGTCCCTACGCCCAGACCCCTGGGAGGGAGGCTCCATCCATCGTGGGAAGGCAGCCTCAGCTCCGTCCGGAACCAGGCCTGGGAAGCCCCTAGCTCCCACCCCCAAGAGTTAGCTCAATCGGAGGGCAGTTCTAGGCCAAGGCATAAGCAGCAGGGAGAGGGAAGGAGTGTGGTCCCCAGCCTGGCTCAGGGGTCCAGTGAGAACAGGAAATGGGCAATGGAGAGAAGTCCCAGGTCACACCATGCAAAGATGTCTTGAACTGCACCCAACACATAGTAGGCCCACAAAATCAAAACAGTTTTATGAACCTATGGGCTGCTTCCACATCACGGAGACCACCCACACAGACCCAGAGTCCTTTATAAAAACTTTATTGGGAGGGTTAGAAAATGGGGGTGACATCCTGGAGTTGAATACATAAATAAATGAATAAATAGAACAATAAATAAGCCCCCGTGTGTGTCTGGGGGGCATCCCCCGGCCTGCGGGGAGAGGGTAGTGGGCTCACGCTGATGTCAGCTGGATGGAGAAGACCTCGCCCCCCGCAGGCGTCTCTGCGGTACCATCAGGTTCCGTGCCACCTTGGGCGCTGTCATTTCCACCTGCGCCACCACCCGCACCGTTGAGACAGACAGCCTCGCCCGAGCTCTCGGCCTCCTGCACGTTATACTCGCCCTTCTTGCAGGCGGTGGACTGCACGTAGAAGGCCAGGCCAGCCCCTGCGGCCAGCAGCGCTGCGCCCCCCACCGCACCGCCCACGGCGACCCACAGCCACGGACCTGCGGGGTGGAGCCCCTCAAAGAGGGTGGACGAGCTTGGGCGTCCCCCCACCCTGACGAGATGCCAAGCCTGAGCCATCCCCAGTGCTGCTGCAACCCATGATCCGTTTCACATGCCACCCAGCGCATGGCGTTATAAGCCCCTGGCTGAGCAGAGAGACCCAGAAACCAACTCTCCTCACCCCCAAAACGATGAGGGTGGGGTGGGGGGAACCGTGTCATTCCTCTATCTCAGAAAGAACCAAGTCTCAGAGTGAGACCAAGTGGGGGACGGGATCTGGTTATGGCCCCCACTCCCATCCCCTGCCCTTGGTCCCTCTCCAAATCCTCTTCTGTACAGCCACACAGTGGAGGGGGCATTGGACCAAGTCTCCGCCAGGCGGAAAACCTCCCCCCAAGTTACTAAGTCCCTCCCCACAGCAGTCACAGCCCTGGAGGGCTCCTCCCCGTGAAGTTCTCAGCTGCCTCTCCCTCCACCTCACACCCCCAACCAGCCATTAGGGCCTCACACGAAAGGTTGCCCGTGACTTCTACCCTGGCCTCCTCCAATCTCATCCGTGGGGATTGAGAGGGAGGTCAGGTGTCCCGAGGCTCAGGCCACGCCCCCGCAGGTATCACTTACCAGTTACACGCACGGTGATGCGCCGCGCGTGGCGCCCGTGCGCATTGGTGGCCGCGCACTCGTACTCTCCTCCGTGGCTACCCAGGGCGCCTGCCACGCTCAGTGTGCTGTTGTTGCTGGACAGGCCGATGTTGAGCGCCCCCGGGGGGGCGCGCCAGCTGATCTGGGCGGGGGGCCAGGCCTCCGCGCGGCAGGTCAACGTGAAGTTCCCACCTGGCCGCACACCTCCTGGAGGCGAGGCGGCCAGCTCGGCCACCACTGGTCGGTCTGCAGGGGACAGGAGGTTGGACGGGGGCTCAGCGCCAGCCCTGCTTCAACCCACCACAGTCTGACACCACCCCTGCTCGGATGCACAGGTGAGGATCCTGCCTCCTATCAGAGCCCCCTCCCCCTACAGCAGCGGTTCTCAACCTGTGGGTCGCGACCCCTTTGGCGGTCGAACGACCCTTTCACAGGGGTCGCCTAAGACCATCCTGCATATCAGATATTTACATGACGATTCATAACAGTAGCAACATTACAGTTATGAAGTAGCAACGAAAATAATTTTATGGTTGGGTCACAACATGAGGAACTGTATTTAAAGGGCCAGAAGGTTGAGAACCACTGCCCTACAGTCTGGCTGTAGTCAGTACTGCTTCATTGAATGGAAGGAGGTAGGAACCCAGGACTTGAGGGGGGCCAGGCTCCTGTTCCCTAGAGTTTTCATTGCTCTCAGCTCTGGGTCCCTTCCCTTGTCCCCGAGAGTGGGACTGGGGGGAGGTGCCCTGGAACTCCCTGCGCAAGTCCCTGTCTGGGAACTGAGGGCCCTCTCTCTGGTGCTGCCCCCACTCACATTCCACGCGCACGGTGATGGTCCGGGTGTCAGTGCCGTGCTCATTGGTGGCTAAGCAGAGGTAGGTGCCCGCATCCTGTCGGGACACGTGTATCCGCTGAGGCCAGGGGCCACCCTCCCGGGAGCAGCTCACTTGTGGGGAGGGGCGGCCCAGGGCAGCACAGGCCGGCCCGACAGCCTCGGCCCCTTCCAGCCACGTCTGGTGACTCGGGCAGGTGGACTCATCCATTTTCGGAGGCGCTGCAAAGCAGCCACAGCGGGGTCAGGGAGGGGCCACATGGGGCACACCCTCCTCCCACCCGCCTGGGCCCCGCTCACACTCCACGCTCACGGCTACCATCTTGACCATGGAGCCGTGCTGGTTGGTGGCATTGCAGGTGTAGATACCAGAGGCAGGCTCACTAGGGATGCTGGGAGCTCTGGGACTAGGGTCTGGGGGTGCCAGCGGCAGCAGCACCTTCTCGGTGGTGCCCCTGGAGCCAACACACTCCACCCTTGGCTGCGGCTTCCCATCAACCTCACAAGAAAACAGCCGTCCAGATCCTTCCACCCACGTCCAATTGCTGGGGCAGCTCAGCTCCTCAAAACTGGGGCCATCTGGGGAGCAGAGAGTCACGCAAGGACTGAAAGTCAGACCCGAGTTGCCCACACACACCCTCCCTTGCCCCTTGCTGCCCCCGCTCACATTCCACCGTGATGGCCACAGTTTTGGCCGCAGAGCCTTGAGAATTGGTGGCTTCACAGCGGTAGGTGCCTGCGTGCTCCCGGGCCACGTGCAGCAAGCCCTCGATGGCCTCCGCCGCCCCAGAGCGCACACAGCTCACGTTGGGTGGCGGCACCCCCTGTGCCACACAGCTCAGCGAGGCCTCTGTTCCTTCCAGCCACGTAATACGCTCTGGGCAGCTCACACTGTCCAGCGCTGGCGCGTCTGGAGGGGGGAGTGTTGTTGGGTTTGGGCATCGTCCGAACGTCCCTAGACCCTCTTTACTGTTCCACGGCCACCACGTAGGGTTGGGCAGGCTGTGCCCTCCCTGCACAGGGACGCTGAACCAAAGGGGTTTCACGCCAGTCAAGCCACGCATTGTTTCGGGGCTTCATGAGCTATGAAGGGGCACCTTTTACTGATTCCTGCAAAGCGCCCACAGGACCCTGCTCCAACCTTCAGCCTAAAAATTGTTAGATGGCTTGAAGCACACACTTTTCCGAGACTCCGCCCAAATGCCACGCCCACACACTCCTATGGACA